ACCGATCAGTAACCCGTATTATAACCGGAGGTCTGGTCAGTGAATTAAACTTTATCAGTATGTACTTAGTAGAAAGTGTTAAAAGAGCGCTCTAACCGGTTATTCAAACTCCGAATATCCTTTGCAAAATTCATCTTGGAGCGACTCCCGCGGGATTTGCGCCCGAAAATATTGTAATCACTTTTACCTCAGTGTCGGTGAAAGGGGGTGGATATCACCTCCACTGCGGAGAATAATCGTTTCATTATTATGGGTAGAACATTTCATTGAGTCTAACTTGTCTTCAGTTGGTATTATTCCTCATACGCTGTCGTGGGGCCGCAAAGACGTACTTTCACATAGAAGTGAACGATGAGGAAGGGTGCACTTGCCGTCTATTCACCTCGTTAATATTTCAAATTAGAGAGAACACTGACGACGAGTTGGTTCGAAAGAATGCCCACATAACTTATGATAACCTTTTATCTTCAGAAATGAAATCAGCATCATTTCGAAGAGGACAGCCATTCAGTCAAGCATCGATGCCGTGTCATACAGTGCAACACCACTGGCCACACTGGTGTCAGTAATTACTATGGTGCTTACAGGGAAGACCCTCACGCCCGCCAATGTTTTTATGCTCCTGTCGTTTCTGGATGTTTTAAAATTTATTGGCATGTTAAATATGACTCCTGGTTTAATGTTAACGTATGACGCCTACGTTTCACTCGAAAGAATCGAAGAATTCCTTCTTTTGGAAAATCTGTCGGAAGCCTCGGAGAGTGATGAAAGCAACGAGCCCACACAAAAAGCGAAAAGTACCTTAAGGAACCAAAGTCGCACTTACTTGGGAAAAGAAGAGGAAAATACAGAGAAAGCTTCCCTCTCTCGTGAATCGACAGTATTAGGGCCTTCTATATGTGTGTCAAATTTAAGCTACGCAAAAACACATCCTGAAGATGAATTTATTCTTCAGGATATCAACTTCTTTGCACCTTCAAAGAGTTTAACAGTCATCACCGGCCCGGTTGGAAGTGGGAAGTCTACTCTGCTCTCAGCGATCGCTGGTGAAATTTCGAACGCCAGTGGGACGATTGATTATGAAGGTTCTGTTATTTACTTGCCTCAGACTTCTTGGGTGTTCTCAGGAACGATAAAAGAAAACATTCTATTTGGCCAGCACCTCGAGGAGTCCAAGTACGAAAGAATAATCGACGTCTGCGCCTTAAAAGAAGACTTTCAGCGGCTACCTGATGGCGACCAAACAGTTGTTGGAGAACGCGGCGAGGTTCTGAGTGGAGGACAGCAGGCGAGAGTTGGTTTAGCTCGTGCAGTTTATGCTGACGGAGATATTTATCTATTGGATGATCCACTGAGTGCTGTCGATGTTAAAGTTGGCCAACACATCTTTAACAAGTGCATCAAAGATCTACTGGGCGATAAAATCGTTCTGTTCTCCTCTCATCAGCAACAGCACATGGTAAATGCAGATCAAGTGATTGTGTTGTACAAAGGGCGTGTCCTCGACAAGGGATGCTTTATTGAACTGCACGAAAAAGGTGTAATTAGTTCAACTGTTGACCCGCTCTATAAGGCAGCTCTGAAGGACAGAACAGACCTATCTTGGCCGTTCTCCTTGGAAGATAAGGAGGAACACGATGATGATGAAAAGTGCTATAAAACACATGCTTTGCCTAATGAAGCGAGGAGTTTGGAAATAGCCAAGGAGGATCGTACAATCGGCGTTGTGACATCCAGGCTTTATTGGGACTACTTCAGAAGTGGAGCACATCCTCTGATGATAACTGGAATAGTTGGTTTAAGCCTCATTACTCAAGGTAAACTTATTGTTAGAGTGAGTTGCAAGCCTTGTGTTAGGCCCTAAAAGGGAATACAGAAACCGTTTTTTTCTATATTTCTTTTATTCTATTTCGTGCTAATCATTTCACAATGGCTATGCTTTTAACCAACAATACGCGTTGTTTTTAGATTAGATGACAGAGTAAAGAGACACTGCACAAATTTCTGACCATGTTCCCGAGGCAAGCGCGAGTCGAACGTGAATGGCGAGTCACGCGCAAAAGGAAGAGCTGGTGTCTTGCCCCTCGCGTTTGCCTTGCATTTGCCTCCACTCGCCTGAAAAAGATAAAAAACACGTTCCTAACTAACTTTCTGAGACCGAATACAGTTTTCCAACAATATTTATGTGTAACATGGTTGACTGCCTCATCTATTCTGTGAGATTTTGTTGCTTACATGAACATCCTTTTGTTATAAACGTAAATGGCTAACCTAGGCGAGTTGTGTCTAGGCCCAATAAATCTTACCACATTTAACTGATTGATCATATAGAAATACCTTTGAACCACCACGCCTTGATCTTATCCTTTCAGCCATCATAGGTGCTCCAGACTTGTGGCTCTCGTTTCTTGCAAGGCTAAACCCAGAGGATCAGAAGAATAAAACATATCTATCTGTCTTCGCCTGTCTGGTTGGTGTGTGTTTTATATTTACTATCGTTCGGGCTTATGGATTCCTCTTAGTTTCTCTAAAATGCGCCGAGCGGCTGCACGATAAAATGGTTGTGGCCATTTTACAAGCACCTGTCCTGTTCTTTGATTCAAATCCAGTGGGAAGAATCCTAAATCGCTTTTCCAATGATATTGGCTGCGTAGATGAGTTGTTACCCAAAACATTCCTGGCGGCAATGCAGAGGCTCTTGGTGATATTTGCCCAAATTCTGGTTATAGTGGCCATAAATGTTTGGCTGATGTTTCTTGTTGTTCCAATTTTCGTGCTGGTCGTTTTTCTATCCAATTATTACTTGAAGACTGCCAGAGAACTAAAGAGGTTAGAGTCGATATCCCGAAGCCCAGTCTTCGCTCATTTTTCGGAGACCCTGATAGGACTGGACACGATTCGTACGAGAGAAAGACAGAGAGATTTTGTGGATACACTGTACAGGTATGTTAGAGAAATTGATTCAGGTGTGGTGCCAGAGTCGATAAATGTACGGGGCACAAATGACTCATAATTGCTCGTTTTCTGTGAGCTATTTATTTTTCATTTATTGCCAATACACGAAATTGCATCACGCGTCTTCCTATATGGTATGTGCTGAGACACTGGTCAGCAAGTGGACCTTTCCGTATACGAGGCACGGTCGCGAAACGAAGCTATCCGAAAGAGGCACGAAAGGCGTTACTAGTGTAAGACTACAGTAACTGTTCTGTACGGTTTTCGTTCTTCTGATGGGATTTCGACAGATCCATTATATGAGCGGTCAATCAACAAGATTGCGTGATGCAGAAATTTCATGATTAATCAAAACTGTAACAAATTTATGGAACGTGATTGGTTATGAACAGCGCGATTTGAGCACTAATAGGACAGTGTAATTATAAGTGTCATGCTTGTAATTGGACAGTGTAATAGGACGGTTAGCAAGTCATATCTGCGTGAAAGTGTATGCGCGTGCTGTTGTTTTAATCAATTAGTAAGAGAACTTTATGTCGTCCAATTCTGTTTTCAATCATACTCGTGATTAAAAAAACCAGACTCCCGCTTCGTAGTCGTCCGCTTCTGTTAATCACTCGTATGACTACTGGCCGAATTGGACTCCACTCAGTCCTATTACCATTATGAGTTTAACAGAAAATACCGAAAAGTGACATTCGTCTTCTCCCTCAGATAAATGTTATACTTAGTATACAAGATGTAGTTGTGATAGTGAGCAATTAAGAATTAGGGTTTTTTGGAGAATTTACCATTTTTAATGAAAATATCCATATCGTTAACAAATTCGGAGCAGACCTAAGACTGAGGGGAAATTTATCATTTTTAATGAAAAAGTGTCCATATCATTAACAAACTTGACTCTAGCTTCCTTCATCTGGACGAATAGAACATGCCTAAGACTGAGATGTGGTTATGGAAGGGATCTCTCGGATACTAAGCTAGAAGTAACATCTTTTTTTTAGAGGGTGGGTTGTCGGGCAGGATTTGTTGACAGGCTCCGTTACATTGTCAAGCTAAAGGAGACACTGGTCTCACTTCAATGTACAGACCCGATGTAATCAACCTAGAGTGTATTTTGGAGTGATGGTGGTAAAAGAAATACAATTTGAAAACAACAAGCCAATTAGAACAAAAGAAAAGATCACAAGTAGTGAAAGAGGACTTAACGTAAAAACGAGGAAACGGCATTGAGCGCGGGAACTGAACGCGCACGACCAATAGGCGTTTGGTTTTGCGCGAGTTTGCTGGACCAATCACGAAGCAAAGTGTTGCAAAGCTTCTAAATCCGGTTTATTTCGATAGTCAACTGAAAAATCACTCTATTATTAGAACTTATCGTAATGAAAACTTATCTTTTCAGATATCAAGATGTTCACAATCAGGCGTACATTATGGTGATGGCCAGCGGTAGGTGGCTTGGTACACGTTTGGATTGTCTCGCTTCCTTGTTAGTCGGTGCGGTTGCTCTGGCTGCAATCTTGGTATCTCAAGATGCCGGTAAGCTCAAGATTCTTTGTAACGTTTTTAGTTTTTCTTTGTAAAGAAAGAATCTATGTAGTCGCGTATTCACATAGCATGAACAACTGAACAATAAAATAAGTGTGAAAATACTTGCACTCTTATTATAAACACGACAGAAACGTGAGAGTCACTCGGGTGGCTTAAGTGCTGAGCAAACTTTCAAGTGTCTTCTATGATTCAAAACAGGAAACTTGTGTTGATAACTCCTCTGCACCTACTTAGCTTGGAGTCAAAACAACGACGTAAAAAAGATGCCTTATTTAGTACTTCCCATTAAGTGACTCCCTGGACCAGGCTAAGTAACCCAGCCTTGCTAAGTTTTCGTTAAATGTTTTAACCCGCCAAGAGAAAAC